ATGGAAACATTTGTTCTAGTAATGGGACCTGTCATACAAATCAATTTATAATTTGGTAGCCATGGTCCAACAAAGCTGGACAATCTGTGCTCTAGATGCCAGAAATAACTGCAGCAATTGAAAGAGCAATATTTATCATGGTACATTTCTGAAAGAGATTGGGGTTTGGTTGGATTTTATGCTGCTTTCCTTTTTTTAAAATCTCCTTTGCCTTTAATAAAAATAAGGTTTTACTGGTAATCCTCACTTAATGATCACAATTGGTACAGGCAACTTCATTGCTAAGCAATGCAGTCATTAAGTGAAACATCATGTGACAGTGACTTGCAAATTTACTGCTGGCTTCTCCAGTGACTCTATTTGTCAGAAGCTGGCTGTGAAAAGCCTGAATATCTTTCATGTGATTGTGAGCTGCTGCAGCAATTGTTAAGTGTCGGGACTGGGTAAAGTTATTTTTTCAGCACTATTGCAATTTCAGTCACTAAACAGGGCAGTTATTAAGCACAGGTTATCTGTACATTGCAACATCAATACTTCTATTGTTGTATTCTTTGGAATAGGTTCACTGTCCAAAGCAACAACAACAAACATTTGTGTTGCATATAGTAAATTGCTATATTCTTCTGGTGAAGATAGAATTGTATGGTCTTTATTTTGGTTTTTGGATTGGGTTTCTTCATATTGGGAGCGGGAAGAGGGAATGATCTGGTAAGTACATTATGGAAACACTAGAATCTGTCTTTTGTGCCCTTTTCTTGCTGTGCATGTGTATCATGTGCTCTGCCTATTTATAATGGTAATAAAAGGAAGAACACCACATAAAGGTTTGGATAAAAGAAGTATATGGAGATTCCCAATCATCCAGGTCATGGTTGTCCCAAAGGTGCTTTTTCAAAAGGCAACTGGACTTTCTTGTTTTTCTTTGAAGATGTTTCACTTCTCATCCAGAAGCTTCTTCAACTCTGACTAGATGGTAGGGAATGTAAGGATTTATATTCCTTGGAGATAGCTGGTCATTTGCATTCTTTTAGAGAGTCATTGAGGCCACTTGGAGGTTTATCTGTGTCTTCGGGGTCACCTGAGAAGTGCAAATGGATGTGGAGGAACTTTCTTGGAACTGCTAAAAGGACTATGGTTGTAGTTTATTTTACTTCATGGGATTTTTATGGACCACTCTACAGTTCAGTGGTAGTAACTGCTTCAACTTAGTCAATCTACATAGTATTATTGGCTAGGTTGATGCAAAACCTTAAATCAGTGTTCTAGCTGGGTTTGCTTAGGTACACTGGATGAACTCATTCAGTGTAGTTTGTAACTGATGAATGTACCCTTTAGCATGTTATATAAACACTGCCAGTTGTGCTTTGTGCAACGAACAGACTAGTGCCTGTGCTACTCTGAGTCAAGGGGGTTTGGGTAGCATTTCACACCTAATGGATACAGCAATCAATCAAGATTCTGAATAGAATAGCTCAAAGATAAATGATGAAAAAGAAATCACAGTCTTATAATTCTCAGATATCAGTGAACTGATAAAAATATCATTATTCTTTTCAAAACTGACTCATCTTTTAACTGATCAATAAGACTTATTTTCAGACCTAACTACTATCAGCAAACAGTCAAGGCAGCAATAATTCCATGATCTATATTGTGTTGTGGCTAAATTGGAAAAAGATTAACATCTGTTTATCTTCAACACCTTTTTGAGAAATCGGCTTTTGCTCATAAACAATTTCTGGGTTCTATCATATCACAAAACCTAAAATGGACATCAAAAACATCATCAAAAAAGCAAAACCAAGAATGTTCTTTCTGTGCCAACTCAGAAAGCTCAAATTGCCCAAGGAGCTGCTGATACAGTTCTACACAGGAATTATTGATTCTGTCATCTGCATCTCTATAACTGTCTGGTTTGGTTCTGCAACCCAACAAGAGAGACACAGACTTCAGAGAGTAATTAGGACTGCAGAAAAAACAATTACTACCAACCTGCCTTCAGTCGAGGACCTGTATACTGCACAAGTCAAAAAGAGGGCTGTGAAAATATTTTCACAGACCCCTCACATCCCAGACAAACTGTTTCAACTCCTACCCTCAAAATGAAGCTATAGAGCACTGCGCACCAGAACAACTAGACACAAGGACAGTTTTTTCCCAAACGCCATCATCCTGCTAAACAAATAATTCCCTCAACACTGTCCAACTATTTACAAAGTCTGCATTACTATTAATCTTCTCATCACCCCTTATCACCCATCCCCTCCCACTTGTGACTGTATGACTGTAACTTTGCCATTTGTATCCTTATGATTTATATTGACTGTTTCTTAGTATGATTTGATTGCTTATTGTACTGTATGACTTTATTAGGTGTTGTACCTTATGATTCTTGACTCTTGATGAATGTAACTTTTCTTTTATGTACACTGTACACGAGACAAATTCCTTGTGTGTCCAGTCACACTTGGCCAATAAAGAATTCTATTCTATTCTATTCTATTCTATTCTATTCTATTCTATTCTATTCTATTCTATTC